GCAGCAGCAGCAGCAGCAGCAGCAGCAGCAGCAGCAGCAGCTACATACCAACTGCATGCTGCGAATGACTTCGTTGAGGGCCTCATGCATTTCTTTGGAGGCCTCTAAATCTTGTCTTAGCCGCAGCACTTCTGCCTTCTTCGTTCGGACTTGACGCGAGAGAGCAGCTAGCTGCTGCTGCTGCTGCTGCTGCTGGCGCTGCTGCTGCTGCTGCTGCTGGCGCTGCTGCTGCAGCACAGACCGGCAACGCCGCACCTCCTCTTCCCGCTGCTTTGCAGCAGCGCGACGCAAAGCCTTCTCTTCTTGCTGCTGCACCTGCTTCTCTATCTCCGCTACCTCAGCAGCAGCAGCATCTGCTGCTGCTGCTGCTGCCGCCACCCTCAGGTGTGGTAGGGCCCCCTTCAACGAAGCAGCCTCTGCTTTGAGCTCCTGAAGCTGCACCCAAGACAGCAGAAGCAGCAGTAGCAACAGCAGCAACAGCAGATGATCTTGAGTTGCTAGTGCACCTCCATACACAAGGGTAAGGCTTGCTACCGAATAGCTAGCTGTAGCTAGCTGCTGCCTCCAGATAGCTAGCTGTGGCTAGCTGCTGCCTCCAGTTAGTTAGATAGCTAGCTAGCTAGGGGCCCATGGAGGCTGCAGCTAGCTATTGGGACTAACTGTGACGATCGCCTTAGCTAGCTATTGCCCTGTGTGGCTAGCTGTAGCTACCTGTGGCTACCTGTGGCTAGCTGTGGCTACCTGTGGCCCTCTATGGCTCTCCGTAGCTAGCTGCGTCAGGTGGCTATGGCTAGCTGCGACTAGCTTCAGCTACTTGTGGCTAGCTGTGGCTAGCTGTGGCTATCTATCGCTATCTGTGGCTATCTATGGCTCTCTGTAGCTAGCTATGGCTAGCTATGGCTAGCTGTAGCTAGCTGTAGCTAGCTGTTGCTAGCTGTAGCTAGCTGGTGCACCTGTTTGCAGAGACGCATTTCGTTGGTGAGTTGTTTGTGGGTGTTTCTGGCGGGGAGGAGGCGATCTTCAAATGCCTTTAACTCTGCTGCAGCAGACTTATGTCTTGCTGCTGCTTCTTGAAGGCTTGTCAGAGCCGAACCTAGACCTAAGGGCCCCACCAACATATTGCAGCAAACAGCAGTACAACATGCAATGCAGCAGCAGCAGCAGCAACAGCAACAGCAGGTGCAGCAGCAGCGGCAGCAGGAGCAGCTGCAGCAACAGGTGCAGCAGCATTGGCAGTAACAGCAGCAGCAGCAGCAGGTACAGCAGGAGCAGGAGCAGCAGCAGCAGCAGCAGCAGGTGCAACAGCAGCATGTACAGCAGCAGCAGGTGCAACAGGAGCAGGTACAGCAGCAGCAGGAGCAGAAGCAGGTTCAGCAGCAGCAAGAGCAGCAGCAGCAGGTGCAGATAAGCAGCAGCAGCATCTCACCGCTTGCATAGAGATAGAATTGGTACAGGGCTTTGTCTGTTGCCTTGAAAAGAAAAGTTTTTGCGAGTTCTTGAGGTAGATACACCGCAGGATTAACTAGTTCAAATCTGAAGTGTCTGAGCAGCGCCTGCACTTCTGCTGCTTTTATCTCTCTCTTGCTGCTGCACTGCCCTCCACTACCTTGAATATACCAGCTGCTGCTTCCTGTACCCCACACCGTCTCCTCCTCCTCTACCTGCTGCTCCTGCTGCTGCTGCTGCTCCTGCTGCTGCTGCTGCTGCTGCTGCTGATGGGGCTTGCGGGGAGACCTTTTCTTAACAATTTCGCGCGAGAGGGTGAGGTAGTCCCCATACACCGCATGGCAGTAGGCCCTGTCTACAGGGATAAATGCATCTTTGGTTAGCAGAGACACCCGACTAATTAGCCCTTCTTCTTCTTCTTTTACGGGCCTCAGAGTCTCCTCTTCACTCTCCTCCTCTCCAGCAGCAGCAGCAGCAGCACCAGCAGCAGCAGAAGCGCCAAAGTCCTGGGAGGGGGGGCCCCCAGGGCCCCCGGGGGGGGCCCCAACAGAAGAAAAGTTTGAAAATGTTAAGGATATAACAGCCTTTGAGGGGCCCTCTTCCTTCCAGTAGTCTCTGATATATTCAAACAAACGAAGTGTCTCCCCGCTCCTTACAAGTGTTGCAGCAGCACTGCTTCCCTGGGGGCCCCTAGGGGCCCCCCTACCTGGGGGGCCCCCCACAGGTATACCCTCTTCTGATGATGAACGCCAGGGGCCCCTCTCTCCACCACAACAAATAAATATTGCTTTTGCTATTGCAGACTTCCCCTGGCCGTTTCCTCCTAAAAACAAACAAAGACAAAGAAAAAGAAGAGAGATACATTTAAATAAATTAAAAAAGAACAAGAGACAGGGGGCCCCTTTAAACAACCCATGCGGCCCACTTAAACAACCCTTGGGGCCCCCCTTAGGGCCCCTTGGGGCCCCTCTGAAGGGCCCCTTGGGGGCCCCTCTTGAGGGCCTCTTGGGGGCCCCTCTGGAGGGCCCTTTGGAGGCCCCCCTTAAGGCCCCTTAGGGCCCCTTGGGGTCCCCGCTGAGGGCCCCTTGGGGCCCCACTGAGGGCCCCTTGGGGGCCCCTCTGAAGGGCCCCTTGGGGGCCCCTCTGAAGGTCCCCTTGGGGGCCCCCCTTAAGGCCCCTTGGGGCCCCTCTGAGGGCCCCTTGGGGGCCCGGTGAAGGGCCCCTTGGGGGCCCGGTGAAGGGCCCCTTGAAAAGTTTGTGTGTATGTGCTTGGCTTGTTTTAAGGAGGAGTAAATTGATGCTTTTTTGTTTATATTTTTTGTTTATTTACCGAGAATAATATTTGCAGAAGGCGAGGGCCTCCAGTCAAGCAATTCATGATTACAGAAGTCCCTTAGAACGACGCGGGTTAGTTTGCCTGCGCTGCCATAGAAAGGGTCTAACTGTCTCCTTTCTGCAGCAGCAGCAGCAGCAGCAGGAGCAGCACGAGCAGAAGCAGCAGTAGTAGCGGCAGCGGAGGCGGCCGCACGGTGTGGGGCCCCCCTTCCCTGCGATCTCTGGGGAAGCGATGAAAGACGGGAACCAACATCGATCCCACCGATCCCACCGATCCCCAACACCTGCACAGACCCCACATCTTCCTCCGAGTTGTGGGGAGACTCAACGCCACGCCACTCAGGGGTGGAAGCAGCAGCAGCTGCAGCAGCAGCTGTTGCTATTGCTGCTGCTGCTGCAGCTCTTGCTGTTGCTGGGGCTGCCTCTTCAAATGGTTCTGCTGCTGCTGCTGGTGTTGCTGCAGCTGCAGTTGCTGCAGCTGCTGCAGCTGCTGCTGCAGCAGGGGAGACACCTGTCTCTTGCTGTCTCCCTGTAGGTGTCTTGCTTCTGCGGGGGCCCCTAGAGGGGCCCCTTCCCTTCCCTTGTGTGTGCTTTGCTTTGCACTCAGGGGGCCCCTCGCTGTCTGACGAGGAGCAGCAAATAAAGATGGGGGCCCCCTGCGGCTCAGAGGGGGCCCCCCTAGTACCCGATCCCCTCAGTTGAGCAGACACCTCAGCTGCTGCTCCTTCTGCTATCTGATGATGCAGCTGGTTGTCTTGGGGGCTTCCTGGGGGGCCCCTTGGGGGCCCCTCCTCCTGGGGGCAAGGGGCCCCCCTCTCTCCATCTGAGTAATCTGCGGAAGTAGAAGACGCTGCCCGGTCTCTAACAGCAGCAGCAGCGCCACCTTCATCTTCTGCTTGCTTTTTCCTCTTCTGTCTTCTTTTAGGGGCCCCTGTATCTCTTGAAGGGGCCCCCAAGGGGGGCCCCCCTCTGGGCGCCCCCATTACCCTCTTCGGATTCATCTCCCCATCAGAACTATCTGAACTAATTGTTATATGTATGCCCTCAACTGCTTGACGAGGGGCACCCCGAGGGGCCCCCCCAAGGGCCCCCCCAGGGGCCCCCTGAGGAACTGCTGAAGCTCCGTTGGGGGCCCCAGCTCTGCCTTGAGGGGGCCCCTCGGTACCCTCTTCGCTTCTCTCCAGTTTAAGTCTCTTAATAAGAAACCCTGGACGCCCCCATGCATCTTGGGGGCCCCCGGGGGGCCCCCGGGGGCCCCTCAGTGATTTGTCTCTACTCTGCATTTCTTACTGCAGGGGCCCCCTGTTGCAGATACAGAAGAAGGGGGCCCCCCCTTAGCCTGTGAGGGGGCCCAGGAACTCGTAAAGGCATCAAGACAGCAGCTGGAGGGGCCCAACGTTGCTGCTGCTGCATGCTGCTGCTGTGCTGCTGCTGTGCTGCTGCTGCTGTTGCTATGACCGATAAGTAGTCAGCAGCGGGGTAAGGGGCCCCCCCTCCTTCCTAATGCTTTCATTAGTAATAAATCATATAAAGAACAGTATTGAGAATAATAAAAGAAGATATATTCGGAAAAACAAAGATCTAGTATACCAAGGTGGTGGGAGGGCCCCCCTGTGTTACTGGGGGCCCCATCTGCTGCTGCTGCTGCTGCTGCTGCTGCTCCTGCTGCTGCTGCTCGCTAGCCGTCATACGGCCTCACCCTAGAGCGCCTCCATCTCTTCTTGTTTTCTTTTCTTTGCTCTTTTGCTAACAATTAAAAATAGGGGGAGGCATTCATGCAGGGGGCCCCAAGGTCAAGGGGCCCCCAAACACCAAACACTGCTGCAGCAGCAGCTGCAGCAGCAGCAGCAGCAACAACAGGTAAATGCTCCCCCGGGTCAAGGGATCCTTAGCTAGCTGCAGCTTTTCTTTATTTCTAGGGCCTCCAGGCCTGTTGGGGCCCCCAACGGGCCCCCTCAATGGAACTGCAGCAGCAGCTGCTGCTGCTACACCGCAAGCTGCTGCGTGAGGTGTAATACTAGCAGCAAAGGCCTTTCTCTCTCCCCCTCAGCAGCTGCTGCAGCAGCAGGGCCCCCTAAGATAAGCCGTCGACGCCAGCACTGGCAACCCCAAGCCACCCATAGAAGCAGCAGCAGCAGCTGTAGCAGCACTAGCCGCGTCAGCAGCAGGAGAAATATCAGACGCAGCAGCACTTTATTTTCTTTGTCTTGCACACATGAGGCTGCCTTGGGGTGTATACACAGCCTACATTCCAGGCCTTAGTCTGGTCTTGGCCCAGCAACTGCTGCTGCTGCTACATGCAGGCGCGCTGCTGCTGATTGTGCTGCAGCCCCCCCCTGAGTTGTCGGGGGCCCCTGCAGCTCCCATAGTTTCATCGCATCTGCAGGCATTACCCTTAAGCGTTCAGGGGCCCCTGCCGGAGCAGCAGCAGCAGCAGCAGCACGAGCCGCAGCATGTGCCGCAGCAGCAAGAGCAGCACGAGCAGCAGCATGTGCCGCAGCAGCAAGAGCAGCACGAGCAGCAGCAGCAGCAGCATGAGCAGCAGCAGCATGAGCAGCAGCAGCAGCACTCCATTCCTGTAGATGGAAATCATGCAGCAGCAGGGAGTGCTTCTACGTCATCAGGAGTCAGCGAGGGATCCCCAGCTGCTGCTGCCGCTGCTCCTACTGCTGCAGCTACTGTTGCTGCTCCTGCAGCAGAAGCAACAGCAGCAGCAGCAGCAGCAACAACAGCAGGGTCCGGGGATGCGCTGCTTCCGCCGGCAGCTGCAGCAGCTAAGGGGGCCCCTAGCGCACGTGGGGCGCAGGGGTCAGGGGGCCCTTCGGGGGCGCCACCTGAGGGGCCCCCATACACAGGAGGGGGGGCCCCTTATATTTCTGCTGCCGGTTTGCTGCTGCTGTGGGGAGGGTGGGGTATAGCAGCGTTGCTGGTGCTGTCTCCTCTTGGTGCTGTCCCCTTTCTGCAGCAGTGCAGCGCGGAGGGCCACAACAGGGGGGGTTTAGTTGAGGGGCCCCCCTGGGGGCCCCCCTCACAGGATATGGGGGCCCCCCGGGGGCCCCTCGAAGGCCCTAACAGCCAACAGGATCCTGGAGGCCCCCTGTCTCTTAACCCAGGAGACAGTTGGGGCCTCCCGCAGCGGCATGGGGTGTATGTGCTATCGTTCATGACTGAAGTGCTGCCTCACTGTCTCCTTTCTGTCTTAGGGGCCCCCTTAGTGCTGCTTCTAGCTTGGGGGGAGTTTGGGGCCCTCTCAGCCTTCGCAGCGCGCTGGGGGCCCCCCCAGGGGGCCCCCTGCAGATCTCTTGCTCTGGTGAGCGTCGCTGGGTACCCCTTGTGGCTGCTGTCTCTGTTTGCTGTTGCTGTTTGTCTCCTTTTATTTTCTCTATGTACAACGTACCCTCTTGCTTCTATTTGTCTTTGGGGGGGCCTCGCGGGGGCCCTTGGGGGGTTGTGGGGCCCCCTGCTGCTGCGGGGGCCCCCAAGTCGTCAAGCAGGAACTGCAGCAGGTGAAGGATTCAGTAGCAGCAGCAGCAGTTTGCTGCTGCTGCCGGACGGTTTATTACCTGCTGCTGCAGCTGTTTGTCTCGCGGGGGCCTTCTGCTGCTTCAGGAGAACTAAAGCCCTAAAGGGGGCCCTGACCTTCCCAGTAAGTGGGGGCCCCCCCCTTCCCTATTTGTTGCTGCTGTGCAGCAGCTGTACCCTGGGGGCCCCTCTTCTCTTTGCTTGAAGGCCTTCAACGAGGAGGGGGGCCCCCCTCCTGTCTCCCTCTCCCTTCTATCGTTTGTTTCTGCTGCTCCATGGGGGCCCCTAGGGTACGGTAGCCTGTGACTGTGCAGTAACTGTGAGACCCTGAGAGATCTGGGGGCCCCCCGGGGCCCGTCGGAGTGTGTAGGGGCCTCCAGGGGCCCCCTGGTTGTTAGATGTAGTGCAGCAGCAGCTGTACACGCAGCAAGTTTGCTGCAGGGGACAGGGATGTGTGATTTGTGGTGTTATGCTGCAGGAGCTGCTGCTGCAGGGCGTCCGGCTTATTTGCTGCTTCGTAGCTTCGCTGATGTTTATTAGTTGCAGTGGAGCTCGACAGCAGCAGCAGCTGCCTGAAGGGGGGCCCCCCAAGGGACCCTGGGGGGCCCCTGGGGCCCCCGGGTCTCTGACAGGTTTGCTGTCTCCTTCTAACGATGTATGGGCATGCAGAGTGCTTTTAGGTGTCTCCTGTGTTTCTCTTCTTACTTCTCTGGGCCTCTTCTATTGCTCTGTCTGCTGGGGGCCCCCTGAAGTACGTGCAGACGTTCTTTTATGTCGTGCGGCAGTAAGGCGTAAGCCTTTAGGCTTTGAACAAGAAGCAGGGGCCTCCCTTCAGCAGCAGCAGCAGCAGCAACAACAACAGCAACAGCAGCAGCAGTTGCAACGACAGCTGCATCAGCGCTCGGTCCAGCTGGTTTCCCTTAGTTCTGCTGTTGGCTTTTCCCGCAGCAGCAACAGCAACAGCAGCAACAGCAGCAGCAGCAGCAGCAGCAGCAGCAGCAGCGCCAGTGACACGCTGTACGGGGGCCCCCCATACTTAGGGCCTCTCCCCGGTGAGGGCCTCCAGGGTACCGGGGGGCCCCCACCAGGGGGGCCTTCTGGGTTCCTTCATTCAGTGAGGGCTGCCCTTGTGAGATGGCGATTGCTGCTGCTGCGAAGACGCAGCAGCAGAGATGCCGCAGCAATCGGCGTGAGGTAGGGGGGCCCCTCTATGCAGGGGCCCCCTTGGTAATAGGGGGCCCCTATTTACTCTTCTTTTTCCTTTATTCCTTTGACTTTCAGGCCCCTGATGATAGTACCCTTTTATTTGGTCTTAAGGGGCCCCTTGTTGTTACGCTTGCTGCTGCTGCTGCTCACGCTGCTACTGCTGCTGCTACATTTGACGCTGCTGCTGCTGCTGCTGCACACGCTGGTGCTGCTGGTGTTTGTTTCGTAGCGTTGCAGCAGCAGAGACAAACGCTTAAAAAGGAGACAGAAGAGGCAGCAGCAAAATGACCTCATAGGGCAAATGCCAATAAAACAAAGCTGCACATACACCCCAAGGTGTAGCCCTAAAATAATATCTCTGGAGTCACCACACCTTCAGCCCCAGCAATTAGGGGCCCCCCTCTTAGTCCCCTTATGTTCCTGCAGCAGCTGCAGCAGCAGCAGCAATCAGGTGCGAGGCACGGCTACATTATAGAGGAGAGGGGGGGTCCCACAGGGGCTGTTGCATGCAGCAGCAGCTTCTTGTTGCATGAGAATAGCACTTCGGGTGTCTCTGCATGCATGCATGCATGCATTGTGTGTATCTGCATTCATGCATGCATTGTGTATATAGGCATTCATGCGTCCACTATGTGTCTCCGCATGCACCCGTGCATGCACCGTGTGTCTCTGCATGCATGCATGCATGCATGCATGCATTGTGGTGTTTGGGGCTGGCAGACAGCCCGTAGCTCATGCACTGACAACCTCTAATGCCCCACTGCCGTCTGCAGCAGCCACCAACTTGAGGCCCCGAAGGCGAGAGATAAAAGCAAAACACCCCGAACTCCCAGGCACAGCTTTTGCTGTTAAGTGGTCCTGCAGCAGCAGCAGCAGCAGCAACAACAACAATAACAATAGCAGCAGCAGCACAAGGTGCTCAGCAGCAGCCTCAACAACTACCCAGCGGTTGCTGCTGTGTTGTGAAGGCCTCTTGCTGCAGTAGCAGCAACAGCTCCTGTTGCTGCTGGGGCCCCTGTTGCTACTGCTACTGGCCCTGCTGCTGCTGCTACCGCTACTAGCCTTGCTGCTGCTGCTGCTGCTACTGCTGCTGCTGCAGTGTTTCTTGATGAGCGTACCTGGACATATAGATCGAGAAACACTTCCCGCTGCAGAGGGTTTGCTTCGGCGTTTGGTAATGAGAAGAGGCCCCACCTGAGGGGGGCCCCCCCGTGCTGCAGCTGCCACGCAGCAAGGCAGCGTTCAATAAGTGGGCCCCACAGGGGGTGTTGCATATATATTTTCTTGACCCAAGCTTCAATTGCTGCTTTCGCTTGTCTCCAGTCTTCTTCTTTCTTAATATTTAACGAAGTGTCTCTGGAGACACTTATAACGGAGACACCCAGAGACTCACGTACATCAGGTGCGCATCCATCCATCGACTGCAAACAATAATATAGCCAAACACCACTGCCTTCATGGGGGCCCCCTGGGGCCCCTGATGATACATCGGGGACACCGGGGGCCCCCCCTAAATCCCTCGGGCCCCCGGAGGCCTTGGGGCCCCCCGTTGAGGTCTTGGGGGCCCCGGGGGCCCCCGCTAAGTCCCTGGGGGCCCCAGGGGCCCCCCCTGAACCCCTGTGAGATCTGGGGGCCCCCAGGGGCCCCCGTGAGTGCGTAGAGTCACCGAGGGGGCCCCCTGATGCAGAGTCAACAAGTTGGCTTGCGGGTTGTGATGGGTAGGGGTGAGGAGACTTAGGTGTAGGGGGCCCCCCACGGGGGCCTATATGCGAGGGAGGGGGGCCCCCCTTTGTTAGAGAGTTGGGGGCCCCTTGTTTGCTTCCTTGGGGGCTGCTTGTTATGAGGGGATGGCTTGGTTTAGCTGCTGCTGCTGTCTTTGCTGCTGCTGTCTGGCCTCCTGCTGCTGCTTGGCGTGTTGCTGCTGTATGTTCTTCTGCTGCTGCTTTGTGTGTTGTTGCTGTTCGTGCTGCTGCTGCGCTGCCCCTTGCTGCTTCGGTTGCTGCTGCAGCATCCGCCGCTGCTGCTGCACTTGTTCGTGTTGATGTTGCTGCTGCTGCTTCCCTGCCATCGTCCTCTGTTGGTGCTTCGTGGGCTGAAGCTGCTTTTGCTGCTGCTGCTGCTTGTGCTGCTGCTGCTCCTGCTTCTGTCTCTCTTGTTGCCAGTCCTGATGCTTCTGAGTTAATTTCTGCTGTTCTGTTTGCTGCTGCAGTTGTGCCTCCTGTTGCTGCTGTTGCTTCTTTCCCTGCTGCTTCCCCCGTTGCTGCTGTTGTTGCCTGCGCTGCTGGTGCTTGTTTTGCTGCTGCTGCTGCTGCTGCTTTCTCGTCATTCGGTGCTGCTTCTGCTGATGCCTTCCTCGTTGCTGCTGCATCGTCTGCGGCTGTCTCTTTTGCTGCCGATGCTGCTGCTCTTGTCTCTGTTGCTGCACCCACGAATCCTGCTGCTTCTCGCCCTGCTGCTACTTGTGTTGCTGCTGAAGGTATTGTTGTTGCTTGTTCTGCTGCTGCTTCTGTTGCTGCCATCGGCTTTGCTGCTGCTTCTCTTGCTGCTGCTGCTGCTGCTTCTGTTGCTTCTGTTGCTGCTGCTTCTTCTGCTGCTGCTGGTTTTGCTGCTATTTGTTCTGTCGTCCTTCTCTGTGGTGCAGCGGCTGCAGCAGTATTTCTCCTTGCCTCTGCCTGCACTGTTGTTGCTTTTGCTGCTGCTTTCTGTGTTGCTGCTGCTTCACTTTCTGCTGCTGCTGCTGCTGCTTCGGTTGCTGCTGCTGAGAAGCCTTTTCCTGGAGCACAAGAGACCGAGGAGCTACAAGAAGGCCCCGCGCTTGAATCGTGCGCAGCAGACGAAACTGTTGCTGCTGCTGCCTTTGCTGCTGCATTCGTTGCTGCAGTTGCTGCTGCATTTGCTGTTGCATTTGCTGCTGCATTTGCTGCTGCATTTGCTGCTGCTGCCCGGGAAGAGTGTGTCTTGGAGGGAGCAATCACCGCCTCGTTCTTTCCTTCAGATGATGGTGGCTTTCTGCTTCCAGCAGCTGCTGCAGCTGCTGCTGCTGCTGCTGCTGGTGCAGGTGCTGGGGTAACGGTCGGAGTGCCGCTGGTGTCTCCTGTGTCTCCTTTGTGCTGCCTAATGTCGCTTAACTGTCTCCAACCACCCCACACTGTTAAAGGTTCTTCCGAGTCTCCTGCCTCTGGGATCGCCTCCAAAGGAGACGATCCCAGGGGTTGTTCCAGCTCGCTCCTAGGGCCTTGCTGCACTTCGCCTTGCAGTTGAGTGCTTCCAGTCTCTCCCTGCATTTGCTGCTGCTGTAAGAGCTGCTGCAGCTGTCTCCTTGCTGCTGCTGACAGGGGAGGCCTCATGGGGGGCCCATCTGTCCCCTGAACCCACACACACAAACGGCAGCAGCAGCAGCAGCAGCAGCGCAGCACAGCACAGCAGTTATCTGGGGGGCCCCCAATGGTGGGGGGCCCCTGTTGCGAACATCTGAGGCCCCTGAGCCTCGCTGGGGCCCCTCTTTAGGCCTCGCTGGGGCCCCTCTTGTGGGTATAAGGGATAGCTTGAAGGCTATGGGGGCCCCCTCTAGGGGTTATATGTTGTGTTGCTATTATGAAGTTGTATATTTCTTTTTCTTCTTTTATTTTCTTTATAAATGCGTCTGTTCGTCAGCATCACAGTGCATGCAGGGCAAAGGAGACACTTTCTTCTGTCTCCTCAACTTACGGAGACAGTAGAAGAGGAAGGAGACAGAAGAATGTCATCATTAGAGGCCTCCTGGTGGGGCCATGCGCTGGGGTACAGAGGCAGCATATAATGAGGGGGGCCCTTTGCAGCACTCACATACAGAGGGGGGCCCCCCTCCTTTAGCGGGGCATCTTCAGGCTGCTGCTGCTGCCTCGTTGTTAAGGGGCCCCCAGGGGTCTCTTCTATGCTGGCCTGAGAAGGGAGACATAAATTAAATACAAAACAAAACGAACATCAACGGATTCTCAGGGCCTCCATCGACGGCCCCAGGAGACACAAATAAAGCAGTACAGAGCAAAACCTAAAGCTCATCTTCTTTACTTTGCTGTGGGGACCCCCTACCTCTTCAAACCCCACAGAGGGGCTGCTGCTGCGCGTTGCTGCACTAGATAAATCAGTTATAGGGGGGCCCCCTGTGGGATCGTCTTTTATTTCGTATCCAGGGTACAGAGGAAGTGATAGGGGCCCCTCAACGGGGGCCCCCTCAGACTCTAAGGAGGGCGAGGAGACAATAGCGGTGTTAGGAGACAGCTGAATTGTCTCTTGTAAATATTTGCTGCTGGGCTGTTGCTGCTGCTGCCGATGGAGAGCAGCAGAAGGAAGGGGAGGGGAGAAGGTGGGCCCTAGTACCCTTGAGACAAGGCGAAGAGACTGGGGCCCCCAGGAGACACTTGCTGCACGAACTAGCAGCAGCAGCAGCAGTAGTAGTAGCAGCAGCAGCAGCAGCAACAGAGTGGGAAGAACCGCCTGGCGCTGCATCGGCAGCCATCGGGATTGAGTAGAGTTTAAAGACACTCTCAGAAATAAGGAGACACCTGTCTCTTCAATGTTTGTTTGTGCTGCTGGTGTTGGTAGACAGAGGGGAGGAGACAGTCTCTGTGCCTCTCTCAAGGGGAGTGAGGGTTTAGGGTTTAGGGTTTAGGGTTTAGGGTTTATATGCGAAGGGATTGAGGTGTAAGGACATGAAAGACCTTTTATTTTCTTTTATAATAGCTTTTCAATGAAGACAAACAGATGCACATGAGGAGACACCAGAGACAGCCCCAGAGGTCCAGCGGTCTGGTGCTGCAGTGGGCCGGTGTCTGTCTCCTTTGTGTTGAGGTGTATAGGCAGCTTGCTGAGCTGTCTATCTCCTTTTAGTTAAGATATATAAATAAAATGTTTTATAAATAAACAAATTAAAGAGTGTTTAAAGACAAAGGAAATATAAGAAGGCCCCTGCCCCCACGCGGCCTCAGCCTACGTAGGGCCTCACCGAGGGTCTCCGGTGTCTCCTCACCTTCTACTGCATGCAGCCCCAAACAATATTCTGTCTCCTTTTTTCTTTTTTTGCTATTAAACAAAGAAAATGCTGCACTGGAGATACACCTCAACCCACAAGACGAAACATATATATGAGGGTTCCCAGGGCCCTAAAGAGACAGCAAAAGAGAGACAGAGACAGAGACAGAGACAGAGACAGAGAGACAGATATAGAGATGTAGATAGATAGAGATATAGATATAGATATAAACAGAGAAATAGACAGACAGATGTAGAAGTAAAAAAAAGACATAGAGATAGGGGTAGAGGCACAGACGGCAGACCTTGAAGGGGCAATAGAGGGAGAGACAGAGAGACAGAGAGACAACGAGAGAGTTAGTAGCTACAGAGACATTTAGTAGAGAGAGACAGAAGTTAAGCGCATGCACGAAGAGGAGACAGGTGACAGAGGCATCAGAAGTCCTTAAGAGATTTCAAAGTAGGAAAAGAGGCAGCTAAAAAGGAGACAGACACAGCAGCAATCTCAAATATTTGCTGCTATGTGTCTCCTACTGCTGTTGCATAGAGGAGACCGTCTCTGTCTCCCTCCCGTCCTACTGCCTCCTTCTCAGGTGTCTCTGCAGCTCTGAGTAAAGAGACAAATTACTAAAGCCGTATATATATATATATATATATATATATATAAGGATTTAAGTACATACATGTATATATTTAAATAAATAAATATATATGTATATATCTATATATATACATATATATACATGTATATACAAAGGTATTATCTGCAAGTGTTAAGGCTCGTCTCTTGTCTCATGAAGAGACACCAAGGAGACAGATTTTTCTGTCTCTTCTCTGTCTCCTCTGGAGGGAGCTGCTAGCTGCCTAGGGAAGCAAAACATAATTTTAGGTGTACGTACACCTGAGATCTAAAGAGAAGATATAAAGCAGTAAACAAATGCAGTGTCTCCTCAACTCAAGCGGTGAGGAGACAGTGGAGAGACACTTCGTTGCTGTCTGTTGCTGCTGCAGCAGCAGCAGCAGCAGAAGAAGGCAGCAAGAGAAGTAGGAGATGCACACAGGGTACCCAACTAGCTGTCTAGCTAGCTACCTAGCTAGCTACAGCTAGCTAGAGCTAGCAAGAGCTAGGTAAAGCTAGCGAGCTGCAGCGAGCTGTAGCTAGCTAAAGCTATTGAAGTCGCTAGCTAGCGCTAGCTATGGATTTGTATCATCGTTAGTTTAATTATTTAACCTACCTCAACTCTATTTGCTGCCTTAAGACGGCCATAAACCTCCAAATGAAGGTGGGCAGTAAACCCTAAACCCTAAACCCTAAACCCTAAACCCTAATCCCTTTATGTATGGGGAATTCGTTGGTGTCCACCTGAAAGAAGGCCCCGAAACCCTAAACCCTAAACCCTAAACCCTAATCCGTATACTCTAAACCATAAGCTCTCTAAGGGTGGTTGTTACTGTGCAGGTAGTGCTGCTGTGTGGGGCAGGTTAAAGACTAAGAGACCCCACCCTTAAAAGCCTAACAGACAAAAGGAGACAGAAGAAGAGACAGCAATAAGACAAAAGGGGACAGAAGAAGAGACAGCAATAAGCCAAAAGGAGACAGAAGAAGAGGCAGCAATAAGACAAAGGGAGACAATAAAAGACACCGCAAGGACACAGCAGGAGACAGAAGAAGAGACAGCAATAAGACAGCAGGAGGCAGAAATAGAGATAGCAAGAAGATAAAAAGAGACAAAAGAAAGGAGGCAGCAAGAAGACAAAAGGAGACAGACAGAGAGACACAAAGAAGACATTAAAAGGCAGAAGAAGAGACAGCAGTAATGCATTAAGAGGCAAACAGAGCGACACAGAGAAGAAAGGAGGAGACAGAAGAAGAGACACCAGTAAGGCATTAAGAGACAGGGATAGAG